TTGGCCCTACTCTGAGCGTGACCAGGGGCTGCACCTAGGGATTGGGCCTGCCCTTTGCCACCAGGAGCGGGCCTAAGCAGCAGATCATTATCTCCTGAGGGGTCCCAGACTGTGAGAGGACACAAGTGGGGCTGAGGGACATCCCCCCACGCCAGTGCACAAATTTTTGTGCACTGAGCCTCTAGTCTATATATATAAAAGGCTAATATGCTAAGTGTTCCTCCCTCCATCCAACTGGTCATTATGATGCTCACTGACCACCAGGAAGCAGATGCTGTATGCAGGAGCTGCCAAGTTGCAGTGACTTGGCAGCATCGGTTCTTGGGTGATGCACTCTGAAACCAAAGAGGAGGGAGCCCAATTACTCGTGGGGCTGCATGATTCCACCTTTGGCTGTGGGTTATGTTGTTGCTGGGGAACTGTCAGCCCCAAATCTGGTTTACTGCACACTTGCTTTTGCGTTCCACACCCTGTACGACAGCAACTTTGCAGAGTGCCCTCTTGCACTCCAGAACCCCTCAGGGGAAGTTAGAGAGCCAGTTTTGGCCCAATTCCCGCCGGCCAGGCCAAGGGACCCCACGTTGCAGAGGGACCCCACTCACTCCGCAGACTTTCAAGCCATGGTGCCACCCCAGGTGCAGCTGGCCAGGGAAGAACCACAGGAAGTTGACTCCAGGGCGTGTTCGGCCCATCTTGTTCAGTCCCACCCTGCCACCCACCTTCTAATTAATTTCCTTTCAGTGTGCACGAGTCCCTGCACCATGTCACTAGTCTAGAGATAATTGGCTCAGAGCCTCCCTATTGCATGGTAGTAGCATATAAATGTTGTTTGGCTGTTTGTCCACACAGGCAGAAAGCAAGTTGATTTCCATTCATGATCATTGATAATTGTAAAACTCAAACAATTTTGTATCTTCTCTCTCATTTTTTTTTTTTTTTTAGCCTGTTGGTATTTGTAGAGGTTCTGTGAGTCAAAGCTTTGAAGAAAAGAAGTTTGTCGATATAAATTGTGACTTCTTTCAATCACAGGTATTTTTTCATTCTAATTGTTTATCTTTCTCTGAAGAAAAAAAGCAGAATATCTATGTTTTAACTCTCCCTACCTCATCCTCTCATTTTATTTTCCTAAGATCCATGATCACCTTTTTATTTAGGCTGCCCTGAGGTCACACCCATAGGCTAGCTAGTTAAAGACCTGTCACTCTTTGTTTTAGTCCCAAGGAGTTCCTGCAGAATAATTAAGGCTTTCATAAATAGCAACCTCTGAACTTAGATGGCACAGACCCTGAGACATTACATTCAATGTCCCAAAGACCCTTACCCTGAACTGATGGGAGAAGTTGTTTCCATGGAAATAGTTGGTCCCATTCCAGAAGTATTTATTGAGCACTTGATATGAGACAGCCTGATATAGTTGAAAGGGTGGTTGAGAGAGGCCACCTGGGTTCCAGTCCTGCTCTGCTACCTATGAGCTAGGTGACCATGGGAAAATTCTTACCTCTCTGAGTCATGGTTGCCTCATCTATGAATGGGCTTGCAATGCTTACCTCATTCAGTTTCTTGTGAGAAATTAGTGAGAAGACCTGGATAAAGGGTGCTGTATTGGGCCTGGCAGAGCATAAATAATTAGTAATGGTGCTATTGCTGTCACACTAGGAGCAGGGAGACAGCCCACTAGGGACTTTGAATATGCCATTTAAGTCCTCTGGATCAACTTGCTATCAAGCTTCTACCAGTCCTGGTTCCTCCTGGCCCTTATCTGCTTGCTTTAAAACCCTTTAACCAAAGGCCCATCCCTCTAGCTGGCTCCCCTTGAAACATTCCATCAGAAAGGCATAGAACAACCAGCCACAGAAGAGATTTCTCTAGAGAACTTTCCCTTATTGAAAGCATTTTTATTTCAAGCTCTCACCCCTAAAAGGAGAAAATTTGCTATTTACCAGAAAATTTTTGTTTTACCAGAAAAACAAATCCACGCACTCACCCTCCAAAGATGTGCTAAGTGGATCTGTCCAGTACCTTCCTGAGCTGGATGATGAAGAATCTCAGGAAACGGATCCTGCTGAGGCCTTCCCTGTGCACCTGGATCTAACCACAAATCCCCAGGGAGAACCCCTCAATGTTTCCTTCCTCTTCTATGGGCCTATGATTAAGAAGCTGTTTGTCCTACCTTTCCCCAAAGAAGAACAACGCTTTGCTGAGTGTCCTGGAAACGCCTCCATGAGCAACCCTATTGTTCTCCCACCATGAGAACCACATAGAGGATTCCATGGGGATGTGGTGCCCTGCAGGAGATGAGAGGTAGTGGGGAAGGGAGACAGAGAGACAGAGGATTTGAACATAGAGAATAGCTAATAAAGTGTGTCTTTTTAACTCTTCTTGGTCTCATCATTTTGGCTGAAAGTGGAAATGAGACCACACCCTCCACTTGTACACTGAGCTGCATGCCTTCGGAGCCATCCAAGATATCAATCCATGAACACTTGCCTCGTATGTCCTCCACCTTTCCCTTTGTAACGGTTACTGACTTTTAGCCAAGTGTCTCTGATGCAGGACCTGTCATATTAGGAATGCCCTCCTCTATCTAAGCATGAACATATTGTTACTCTTTTGATCAAAATGAGATAAAAATTGAAGGACACCAAGAGACTGAGATTCATCACATAGTTTCATGCTCCTTCTACTCCATATTTATTTCAACACTAAACATTGGTCAGATATTGTCTGCACAACCTTCAACCTGAAGGTGGACTTTCTTTTTCTTACCTGTATAAATAGTCTCTGAGCCCAGAACTTGTTAAAGTCACTTAGCAATGGGGTTAGAAGGAAGAAATAGTTGCCTGTGGCTAATCCTGGAAAGAATCAGATATTGTTCCCAAGTTCGGGAGTTTTCTAGCTTATTTAATAGTTTTGCTCAGAGAATAAATTAAGAGCCCAAATAACATTCATTCCCAATTTTCCCCCTTAAAAATATATAAAGAGATGTAGACAACATATAATATTATGTACATGTATATGTATATTGTGTTTATGTGATACAGATGGGCACACATATATACCTTTTTTTTAAATATAAATTCTTTATTGGTTAAAGCATTACATAAGTCTCCTTTTCCCCCCATTGCCCTCTCCCTGGCTGCTCCCATCCCCCAGCACATGCCCCCATTCCCTTACTGTCTGTGTCCATTGGTTATGCTCATATGCATGCATACAAGTCCTTTGGTTGATCTCTAACCACCCCCTCCCCAACCTTCCCTCTGAGGTTGGACAATCTGTTTGGTTCATCTGTGTCTCTAGTTTTGTTCATCAGTTTATGTTGTTCATTATATTCCACAAATGAGTGAGATCATGTGATATTTCTCATTCTCCAACTGGCTTATTTCATTTAGCATAATGCTCTCTAGGTCCATCCATACTGTTGCAAATGGTGGGAGTTCCTTTTTTTTTTTTTTTACCACAGCATAGTATTCCGTTGTGTAGATGTACCACTTTTTTTTAATCCACCCATCTGCTGATGGACACTTAGACTGTTTGTAAAATCTTAGCTATTATAAATTGTGCTACTATGAACATATGTAGGGGTGCATATATCCTTTCTGATAGTGTTTCTGATTCCTTGGGATATATTCCTAGAAGTGGGATTACTGGGTCAAATGGCAGTTCCTTCTTTTATTTTTTGAGGAAACTCCATATTGTTTTCCACAGTGGCTGCACCAGTCTGTATTCCCACCAGAAGTGCATAAGCGTTCTTTTTTCTCCACATCCTTGCCAACACTTGTTTTTCTATTGATGATAGCCATTCTGACAGGTGCAAGATGGTACCTCATTGTTGTTTTGTTTTATATCTCTCAATGATTAGTGACTCTGAACATGTTTTCATGTGTCTCTTGGCCTTCTGTATGTCCTCTTTTGAAAAATGTCTATTTAGTTCCTTTGCCCATTTTTTTGATTGGATTGTTTATCTTCCTTTTGTTAAGTTGGGTTCTCTGTTCTGTTCCATTGGTCTATATGTCTGCTCTTATGCCAGCACCACACAGTTTTGAGAACAGTGGCTTTGTAATACAACTTGATATCTGGTATTGTGATCCCTCCAACTTTGTTCTTCTTTCTCAGGATTGCTGCAGCTATTTGGGATCTTTTATTATTCCAGATGAATTTTTGGAGAGTTTTTTCTAGTTCTGTGAAATATGCCTTTGGTATTTTAATGGGGATTGCATTGAATTTGTAGATTGTTTTGGGTAGTATGGACATTTTAATGATGTTGATTCTACAAATCCAACAACACGGTATATTCTTTCATTTGTTTATGTCTTCCTCTATCTCTTTTTTCAGTGTCCTGTAGTTTTCCAAGTACAGGTCTTTTACCTCCTTAGTTAAGTTTATTTGTAGGTATATTAGTTTTTTTGTTGCAATGGTAAATGGGATTTCTTTTTTAGTTTCTCTTTCTGTAAGTTCATTATTGGTGTATAAAAAAGCCATAGATTTATGGGTGTTAATTTTGTATCCTGCTACATTGCCGAAGTCATTTATTAAGTCTAGTAGTTTTTGATGGAGTCTTTAGAGTTTTCTATGAACAATATTATGTCATCTGTGAATAATGACAGTTTTACTTCTTTTCTAATTTGGATGCCTTTTATTTCTTCTTTTTGTCTGATTGCTATGGCTAGTACTTCTAATACTATGTCAAACAGCAGTGGTAAAAGTGGGCATCCCTGTCTTGTTCCTGTTCTTAGGGGAAACGGTTTTAGTTTTTGCCCATTGAGTATGATGTTGGCTGTAGGCTTTTCATATATGGCCTTTATCATGTAGATATGCTCCATTTATTCCCACTTTGCTAAGAGTTTTTTATCAAAAATGGGTGTTGGATTTTGTCGAATGCTTTTTCTGCGTCTATTGATATATCATGTGATTTTTGTCTTTCAATTTGTTTATGTGATGTTTCACATTTATTGATTTGCTAATAATGTACCAGCCTTGCATCCCTGGAATAAACCCCACTTCATCATGGTGTATGATCTTTTTAATACATTGCTGGATGTGATTTGATAATATTTTGTTGAGGGTTTTAGTATCTATGTTCATTGGGGATATTGGCCTGTAATTTTCTTTCTTTGTAGTGTCTTTATCTGGTTTTAGAATTAGGATAATTCTGGCCTCATAAAAAGAGTTTGGAAGTGTTCCTTCCTCTTGGATTTTCTGAAATAGTTTGAGGAGTATAGGTGTTAGTTCTTTGAATGTTTGGTAAAACTTCCCTGTGAAGCCATCTGGACCTGGGTTTTTTTTTGGTGGGAGTTTTTTTTTATTACTGTTCCTATTTCATCAGTTGTTATTGGCCTATTCAGGTTTTCTGATTCCTTCTGATTCAGTTTTGGGAGATTATATTTTTCTCAGAAGTTTTCCATTTTGTCCCCTATGTCCAGTTTGTTGGCATATAGTTATTCATAGTATTTTCTTACAATCCTTTGTATTTCTGTGGTGTCAGTGGTTACTTCTCCAGTTTTGTTTCTGATTTTATTTATTTGAGTCCTCTGTCTTTGTTTCTTGATGAGTCTAGCTAATGGTTCATCAATTTTGTTTATCCTTTCAAAGAACCAACTCTTGGTTTCATTGATTTTTTTGTATTGTTTTTTAGTCTCTATGTTATTTATTTCTTCAGTCAATCAATGTTGTTGTTTCTTTTCTTTCTTTTTAAAAATTCTCAATTGTTTAAAGTTGAAGTTTCTATCTCTCTCTCCCTCTCCCTTCCTCTCTCTCTAAAATCAATAAAAACGTGCTTTCAGAAATGTTCCTTAAATTTTTTTAAAAAGTGTTTCCCTTGGGAAAAGGTTTGAATAATGATAGGTAGGATAATCCCTGGATAGGTAGCTCTGTTGATTAGAGCATTGTCCCAATACACCAAGATTGTGAGTTCAATCCCAGATCAGGGCACACACAAAAAGCAACCGATGGATACATAACTAAATGGAACAACAAATCAATGTCTCTCTCTCTCTCTCTCTCATGAATAAATAAAAATATTTTTAAAAAAGAATTAGGGATAACAAAGATTTTTTTATTTTACATATTTCATAATATCCTGTGTTCTTTTAACTTTGTATAGAGATTATATTTATAACTAAAAATTGTATAATTAAAATAACTCAAATTTGAAAATAAAACCTTATTAAAAAATCCAAACAAACCTCAACATTCATAAAGCTTATATGGCTTCTAGTAATACCCCTCAAAAATAGAGGTTGTAATAAGCATTCAATTCAGTGGAGGAAAACAATACCTGTATGTACAGAATAATCACAATAATGTAAAAGCATATATATTATAGATGTTTAAATAGAAAAAGTCTATAAAGCAATATATAATTGTTCATGATTTTTCTCATTGTAGTAGAATTAGAGGTGAATTATTCTTTATACTTTTGTATTTTCCACATTTATAAACCTTAAGTGGCTTCTAGTAATACCCTTCAAAAATAGAGGTTGTAAGTAAACACTCAACCATAGTTGGGGGAAGCAAGCTTTAAAGAATAAAAATTCTGGCCCTAGCGGGTTTTGGTCAGTGGATAGAGCATTGGCCCATGGACTGAAGGGTCCCGGGTTAAATTCTGGTCAAGGGCATGTACCTTGGTTGCAGGCTTAATCGGGGACTCATGTGGGAGTGTGGGAGGCAACCAATTTATATGTCTCTCTGACATCGATGTTTCTCTCTCTCCCCCTCCCTTCCACACTCTCTAAAACTCAATGGAAAAATATCCTTGGATGAGGATTAACAACAACAACAAAAAGAATAAAAATTCTGTTCCTGACTTTTCTGATCCTATAGCCACGACACCCAGAAAGACCCTGCATGCCAGAAAGAATACATGGAGGTGAAGATCTATCTACCCCCAGCTGCCCTGATAACCATCTTGTGAAAAGTCACTAGTCCCCTCTCCATTCCACATCATTGGCCATTCTCTGGCTCAGGACTGCCAGGAAGCTTTCCCAAAGCCAGTAAGAA